CACCTAGAACAAGTACTAGCAGGGTTTATCAGATGTGCAAGAGGAAGGAGCCCCACAACACCCTGGCTTTATCTGTTACTGGTTTCCCCTTATTACTGTGGCTCAGAGGGGAATATGCTAAGCTCAGGAGAGAGGGTAGCTGCCACCCGAGATAGTAAGGCAGCAGCTCCTTATCGGGCATCTGCAGAGTAAGGGACCCCATGGGCACAGATCCAGAACCCTCTGGGGCCTCCAGCCAGGAAACCGTGGGCATGATGAGAGCAGAGCAGACAGCAAGGTGAGGGAGGCTCGCTAGACCCCAACTGCAATATGCTAAGCCCTACCCTACTGGAAGGGCCAGGCTGATAGTAGTATCTAGTGCAGTGGTTCTCAACTCACACACAGCCACAGCCCATGTGACATCCTCCAGGCCATACAGATAGTATATATGTTGTGTGGAAGTGGTCCACATAACACCTAGAGAGCTGTATATGTGGCCCATGATGGTAAATAGGTTGAGAACCACTGATCTAGTGAGCTACTTGCCATACCCACAGCAGCCCTGGCTCCCTCTGTGCAGCTGGAGAACTGAGGCCTAGAGAGATACAGGGACCTACCCAAGGTCCCACAGGGAGTTTTTGGCTGAGCTGGGCTTGAACCCAGGCCTCCTGAAGCCCAATCTACTGCCGTAACCCCCAGGGCACAGTTAGACCCCAGCTGAGAGGTTCTTGCAGGGTTGGCCCCATCACCCAGGGAGGTCTGTTGCTGAGGGGTGCGAGCTCTGGGCTGGGGCAGGGAGTATGGGTGCAGGAGGGGTGAGGAGTTGAGTTCTGGGAGGAAGTTTGGGTGCGGAGTGCAGGCTCGGGGCCGGGACAGGGGTTTGGGGTGCAGGAGGGGTGTAGGTGGGCGGTGCTTACCTCGGGCGGCATGGCTCCCAAAGTGACCGGCACTCACTCCCCTCTGGCAGCGGCTCCTAGGTGCGGGCGGGGAGGTGCCGGGGGGTCTCCGCATGCCGCTGCCCGCAGGCGCCACCCCTGCATCTCCCATTGGCCACAGTTCCCAGCCAATGGGAGCTGCGGAGTTGGCACTCGGGGCGGGGCAGCACATGAAGACACCCCCCAACCCCAGGGGCCGCAGGGATGTGCCAGCTGCTTCCGGAAGCAGCGCGGCATGGAGGGAGGGAGGCAGAGCAGGCAGAGAGCTGCCTTAGCCCTGCTGCTGGCACGTCTCTGCACACCCCTTGGGGGAGGGGGGCAGCGGGTCTCCGTGTGCTGCCTGGGGCGTGCAGAGACATGCCAGGATCCAGCCACTTCCAGGAGCGGCGTGGGGCCACCGGCCATGGCATGCAGGCAGCCTGCCTGCCTGAGCCCTGCTGCACCGCTAGGGCAGGTTGTCAGATAAGATTTGTCCTGCATTTTGGGAGCCCCCTATTGTTGGGGGCCCCATGCCACCGCATGGGTTGTTTCATGGTAAATCCACTCCTGCAGCTCATTAAACACAGTCTGGGGAGGTGGGGCCTGAGAGAGATCCTGCCCCCTCCTTGCTCCAGGGCCCCCTGAACCCCATAGTGGAGAATGCTGTGGGGCTGTGGGGAAGAGGATGTCCCCTTAGAGAGGATGTGCAGGAGGCCCTGGTTATACCCATTGCTGGTGTCAGGGCACTGATTCAAAGCTGCACAACACAGAGGCACCCAGAGTTACAGGGCAGGGGGTGACAAAACCCCTTACTGATCTGGATTGAACCCCCAAGTATCACACTTGTGTAGTCAAACAAGATTTACACACACAGCTTGCTATCTGACTGGGGTTTGCACTTCAAGCACTGGTAAAATCCATGGTGTTCCCACACCTTGAATACTGCGTGCAGGTCTGGTCACTCCATCCCAAAAACGATGTTAGAATTGGGAAATGTACAGAGAAGGGCAACAAAAATGATAAGGGGTCTAGAACAGCTTCCGTATGAGGAGAGATGGAAAAGACTGGGACTGTGAAGCTTGGAAAAGAGATGACTAACAGGGGAGATGATAAAGGTCTATAAAATTATGACTGGTGTGGAGAAAGTAAATAAGAATGTGCTATTTATACTTTCCCATAACATACCAATGAATTTCAGCAATTTCCCCCTCTGAAATTACTAGGCTGCAGGTTTAAAACAAACAAAAGGAAGAATTTCTTCACACAGTGCACAGTCAACCTGTGGAACTCATTGCCAGGGGATGTTGTGAAAGCCAAAACTATAATGGGGTTCAAAAAAGAACTAGAGAAGTTCATGGAGAATAGGTCCATCAATGGCTATAAGCCAGGATGGGCAGAAGTGCAACCCAGTGCTCTGAGTGTCCCTAGCCTCTGACTGCCAAAAGCTGGGACTGGATGACAGCGGATGGCTCACTGGATAATTGCCCTGTTCTGTTCATTCCCTCCAGGGCACCTGGCATTGGCCACTGTTGGCAGACAGGATATTGGTCTAGATGGATCATTGGTCTGTTTGGCCATTTTTTTGTAAAACAGTGATGCCCAAGTACAAATCAAAGAACAGTTACAGTTTGGTTATTTTCTGTTTATTTCGGGTGTGGAAATAGAACAAAGGAAGTTTCAAATGAGTGACAGTGAAACAACTGCAGAGTTAGAGCTAGCTGGTCTGGAGAAGGAGGAAGAAGCTCTGACAAGAGATGCTGAGAAGCAGCATGAGGACACCAGAATGGGAATTTGAACAATGAGAAAGCAAGTGTGAATACCCAAAATGGGAAGTGGAGTGAAGAGCCAAAGAAGCACATTGGTGGGCCCTGGTACTGGAAGTGGCTGCCCACCAATAAGCCATGGAGCTGAAAGAGAAGGAAAGGCGTGGACAGATCCCCCAACCCACAGGTATTCTCTCTCCCCAAGGGACACCCAGCTGGGATAAGCTGTGCCCTGCATACAGAGGAGTAGACCCTATTAAGGAATTCCTTACCACTTTCAAAAGGCTCTGTGAGGTTCATAAAGTTCCAGAGCAGAAGAACAACACAACGTTGATTACTAAGCTCTCGGGTAAAGCATTGGATGTATTTAATGAAATGCCAATTGACCAGGCTTTGAAATATGATAAATTTAAAAAGAGTGCATTGCAAAGGATGTGAATTACTCCTGAAGCGTTTAGATGAAATGCTGAGGCCTCAGAATGAATGACAAGATGAGTTATAGGGAATGTGTGTATAAATTGTGTGATTTGATGAGAAAACGGGCCAAGGGGACAGGGGCAGAGAATTAGGACCAACTGTTTGATCTCTTCACCCAGGAACAGTCATAGAATCATAGAATATCAGGGTTGGAAGGGACCCCTGAAGGTCATCTAGTCCAACCCCCTGCTCGAAGCAGGACCAATTCCCAGTTAAATCAGTTAATCAGTTAAATCAGTCCCTGAGCATGTTGTTCTGAAGAGATCAGGCAAGCCATTTGGGATAAGTTGCTGGATTCTACCCAAAAAGCAGCCAATCTCACTGACGATTATGTGCAAGCTAGAGCATCTGGAGAGTGCAAACTGCAAAGGGAAGGGCAGTAGCCCAGTGGAAAGGTGGGAGCCCGGTTTAACTCTGGGAAAAAGAAGCATGGTTGGGAGCCCAGACACTCACATTGGGAATCTCACTCGCAGACCCGCTGTATGAGGGAATGTGTTACCTATGGGGGTGACTGAGCGCATAAGACACACTTGCTCTAAGTGAAAAGAAACTAAGCCCTTTGTCATATTTGTGGGTTCAACCCAGGCTAGCGAGAAGTTGTCACTGCATGCCCTGTAACCCTGCTCTGCTTAAATGCTCGGCTGCCAGCATGCAGTTCCCTGAGTGTCTATGATGTGCCACCCTGTTCAGCGCTCTGGCTCCGGCAGCCTGTCTACAACACAATAGCCCCACCCTGGTCTCCACCAGTCTTGGTTACTACTTGCAGGGTGACCTCAACACCTCCCAGTCCCGAATTTCCCCCAAACCATCTGCCCTGAAATGTCCAGCCCTCTCCTGGAACACTCCGAGGAGTAAGAAGGTCCAGTGCTCCTTTAGTGAGACAAAAGCTCAGCTTAGTTCTTTAACTGGCGTTAGCAATCACTTCAATTCAAACACAGCTCAGGATTTGTTCAAATTACAAGTAAAGCAAGTTAATTAACAAAGAGACAGAGGGTTTCCATGAGTTAAGATACAAGGGATAAAGACAAAGTGGCTACAAGCAAATAAAAGTAAAATACACTTTCCAGTGGCTAAGACTTAACGAGCTACAGCTTTGGTTCATGGTGTATTCTTACCAATCTTTTTCTGTCCAGCCACGGCTGACTCTCTCTCTCTCTCTCTCTCTCTCTGTCAGGACCTTCCACAGAAGTACAAGGGGCTGGTGTCCCTTGTCTTACTAGATGAAAGATCTTTGCCTAAGCAGGTTTCTCACCTATGTTCAATTCCCAGGGATGTCAACCCCTTTGGTTGAAGGGCCCATCTTTCTCAGCTTGCAAGAGCTCTGGCCCCTTGTGTCTGTCCAGTGGTGGATGCAATGTTGGCTTCTTCTGTCTCCTTAGATCTTCCTAAACTCATTGTTTTCTCCCCAGGCTCAGGATGTCCTCATGCTGTTCTTCTCTTTCTGTGGTTTCCCCATCCCCCTGCTGGCTCATATGTAAATTGGGCTTTCATTGCTTTTGGTCATATATTGCTTAATTTTCTTGGTGACAGGTAGCCAGCTGCCTTTCCCACTGTCTGGGAGAAAACATGTTTCTCCTTTTATCAGGTCTCAGATTTTAAAGCATGATATCCGTGAGCATCCATAATTCCCCATAGAGTGTTAATACCAACATCTCACAATGATATTAATCACTAGTGTGTCATTAGCTTTCATAAAAGACCTTTGTTGATACCTTTTCATAATACAGTAATATTGTTAACAATCAGCTGATTCATTTGAGGTCCGGACCCTCTGTCTTTACAGCTAAGATGCTATCTCCCCCACTCGCTAGGTTGATGGCTTTGTTTACCTTTTATGTAAAGGTGCCTTCGTTGACTCTGCCTGAGGATGAGGTTGGTTAGACAAACAAATACCCATTTCTTTGTCCAGGGCAGACTGGGCTTATGCATTGCTTGCCAAACACATTTTAAGAACATAATTCTGGCCTATATTTATAACTCTTTCTACAGACCCAGGCATACATCACCCAAGGATATTAATGACCAGTGAGCTGTTTGTTTTTCCATTGATATCGTACATGCCACCTTTTGGCTCTATAGCGTGACAACCGTGCGTTAGGTGTAGCGAGCATATCAGGTGTGCCAAGAGTCGCTGACACTGCGTTTGAACCGCAACCAGGTCTCTGTGTTACACTATGTCCTGTTCAGCCCAGGTTAGTACAGCTGTCATTAACACAGAGGTGCTTGAGGGATGCCTGATTAATTTTGTGAGGTCTCCACCACTGGAGTTTATGAAAGGTGAATGGTAAAGAATGCCGAGGGTGGAGACAGTGGGGCCCAGAATTCTCTGGTCAGAGAAAAGATGGTCAGGGACTGTGACAAGCTGCAGGGAGGAAAGATAGATCTCGTGGCACTGGGACAATAGAAAACTCCTGTGCCTTTTGCTAAAGTGCATTTGGAATCACGGGGTTCAGGAGGCTATGGACCCATCACTTGTTACCAACCATAAGGGGGAGTGATGGGGAGTGGAAGGGGGCGGAGAGGAGCAAGTGGAGGCTGGGGGCTTGGGAAGATGGGGTGGCACAAGGACGGGGCTTGGGGAGAAGGGATAGTGCCCGGCAGGAGGGGGCGGGGCCACAGTTCGGGTACTCATGGTCCCCCTACTTTGAGGTAGTTTCCACTGCTCTTGTTTGGAGTGAGACGGTTTGGTGGGTACCTTAAAAGCGGGGGTGCCGGATTGTGTTCAAAGAGAATGGCCGGTGGGAAAGGATGGCTGAACGCTGACGAAAGCTGTTAATGCGATAACCTGCTGCAAAAATGCAATGTTCTGATCCCAGAAGGAAATGGTAAAGACCAAGAAACCACTGGGCGGGGTGGGGAGGGCACAGCCAGAGCCAGCTCAGCAGGAGAAAGCAGTGTGCTTTCAGGTGTGGGAGAGGCCGACACCAACTATAACTGCCACGTAGCAGAGGAAAGTAGCTTGACCTCAGGCCTGGGCAGGGGAGTTAAACCCTATAAACTGAAGACACTGTCCCAGCTAGCAGCTGCCAGCCTGGAGCAGAGAGTGGCCCCCACTCTAGAAAGCATCCGGGGCCACCCCTCACGAACCCCAGGGAGGGGAAGCAGGGAAAGGGTTTCTGAAGGGGCAGGAAGGTTGTACAGGGAAGCTCCTGAGGAACAACAAAAGCCCTCTGAAACCTTACAAGCAGACTTGTGCCTGCCCGGCACTGGTTGGTGGGGGTGGTGGTTAATGGTTTCAGGCGCATGACTGCCCTTCGGTTGGGCATGTGGGAGCACAGAGGACTCATGAGAGGTTAAGGAAGGATTTTTACTGGTCAGGGATGGAGAGCGACGTGAGAGACTATTGCAGACCTTGGGACAGACGCCAGAGGTGAGAGACCTGCAGGACACCAGTGAGTTCCTCTGCACCCCTTGCTGCTGACACAAGATACATTTGAGCATTGGGCACTGTGGGTCCTATGCCTACCCAAAGTGGTAAGAATATCTTGGTTGTAGTGGATTTGCCATTGAGTATCCAGAGGCAGTGGCTCTAACATAGGGGGCCCGCCCCAGCAGGGGGTGCTCTGACACCAGGGAGGGGGAGGAGCCTGCACTGCCAGCCCCGCCCGCCCCAGCAGCGGATCCCCAGTTTCTCCAGGCAGGGCTGGGTAGTGGCCCAGGGGTGTGTGGGGTTGGGTTGAGCTTCTAGGCCAGGCTGTGAAAACTGGGAAGAATGAGGGAGGAGAGGGGGCAGCAGAAGTGGTGGGGATGGGCACAACAGGGGGAGTGCAGGGGGAAGGCAGTGCTGAGGGGAAGGTGAACTGTGTGGAGGGGAGCCATGGAGGAGGGCAGTGGGCAGGAGACAGAGAGCTGGGCAGAGAGCAGAGTGGGAAGAGGACAGGGAGCTGTGGGTGGTGCAATGGTGAGGGAGAGGAAGCAGGGGGAAGGGCGAGCCATGGGGGGGGGCCCGGAGGGGGAGTTTTGGGGGGTGGAGGGGAGGGGGAGCTGGGGGTAGGAGGGCAGTAGTGAGGGGAGGGGGAGTGTGAGGGGGCAGTGGGGAGGGAGAGCTGGAGAGTTGTGGGGGCAACGGTGGGGATGAGGAGGGGAGAGGATCGGGGGGCAGTAGTGAGAGGAAGGGGAGCCATGGGAGGCAGGGGGGGTGAGGAGAGGAGGGGGAGCCGTGGGGGGCAGTGGAGAGGGACAGGGAGCTGGGGGGGTGCCAGGGGGCACTGGTGGGGGGCAGCAATTCATACAGGTGGGGCTGGTGCTGGAGCGGCTGAGCTGCCAGTGTCCTGCCTGTAATCCCAGCTAATTGGCTTTGCCCCTCAGCCCTGGTGTTCCTGGGGGCGGGGGTGGGAAAATAAGAGGATTTCTCTGACTCCTTCTTAAGGCCCCGCTGTCCCGTCCGCTTGCTCTGTGCCCGACCTGGAGCTGCCTGTCCCAGAGCTGGCTGCCGCGCCCCGGTGCCCGGCCCCATGCCCCACAAGCGGCTAGACGAGGTCGAGTCGGAGACATGCAGAGAGGGGCAGGACCTGAATAAGGGGGGCCAGGCGCCCCCTAAGGAGGAGGAGGAGCCCAAAGCCAGCAAGAGCCCCGGCTCCGAGTCGCGTCGCAGCTCACACTCCAGCCACGGGCGCAAGCATGGCAAGAAGCATCACGCCGATGCCCATGCCGACGCCACCAAGGCCTACTCGCCCTTCCTCAACACTGTCTTCGGCAGGGTGCGCTTGCCTTGGGTGGAGATGGGGGGGGGCAGAGCAGGATGGGGCACCAGGGAGGCAGGGCATGAGGGTGCTGGATGTGGGGCAGGGCATAGGGGTTCCGGGAGTGGGGCAGAACATGGGGCTCCAGGGTGGGGCATGGGTGTGCTGGGTGTGGGGTGGAGCATGGAGCACTGAGGTGAGGCATTGGGCTTCGCGGGGAGGCATGGGTGTAGGGTAGGGCATGGGGCATTGAGGCGGGGCATGGCGTTCAGGGGTGGGCATGGGGGCTCTGGGTGTAGGGTCAGGCATGGGGCTCCAGGGTGGAGCATGCGAGTGCTGGGTGTGGGGCATGGGGCACTGGGTTGGGGGCAGGGATGGGTACATGGGAGTGGGAGCAGTGATGGGGCACAGCATGGGGATTTGAGGAGGTCAGGACGTGGGGGCAGAGTGGGATGAGGACATGGGGGTGGGATGGGGCAGGGCATGGAGGCACAGGGGGTAGGAGCAGAGATACAGGTGCGGTGGTGGGGTATGGGTGTGTGGGGGCAGGAGGAGTGCATGGATTGTTGTGGGGGGCTGGGCTCGAGGGAAGAGGGTGGATCATGGGTACGAAGAGGGGGAAATGTGGGCAAAAAGGTGCCCGGCAAGTGTGGGCATGGAGAGGACAGGCTGTGGTGTGAGAAGGGCTGGGCATGTGGGGTGGGGAGTGCTGTGTGGGGGTGGGCTGGGAGAGGAGAGGCAGCTGCAGTAGGGAGGCAGTGGGGGCATGGCCAGTTGGACGGTGTTGGTTGGGGAGCTCTTTGGGGTGAGATGAGGCATGGCTAGCTGGATTGTTTGGGTGGGGAGGGCGGACCATGGCTGGGTGGGCACGATCATGGTGGGGGCATGCTGGGGTGGGATGGGGGCAGCAGGGCAGGGTGGCTGTGCAGCACGTACAGCTTTCTGATGCCCAGAACGGTGCTGGGGGGCAGGCACCCTGCCCCCAGGCTCCTCCAGAGCGGGGAGGCGCTGGGCAGGCTCAGAGGGCCCAAGGGGTGGGGGAGAATGGGGCACTGCAGGCACCAGTGGGCCAGGGGTCCCCACTCCCAGATGGGAAATGGGGCAGCCCCACTGGTGCCCATCATTCCCTGGGGCCAAGAGCCTGGAGGGATGGAGCCCAGTCCTCCAGGTCCTTCTCTGTCCCCCAGGCAGCTCAGTGGGCTGCAGCATGGCATGGCGCCCTTGGGGCTTAACAACGGCCCTGCTGCCTGCACCCTGTCACCCCGATTAGCTGGTATAAATAACCCCTTCTCAGCTCCCTCCTGGGAGACCGCCAATCCCATTATCCCTGGGCGTGGGGCAGCCAGTGCCGGGGCCAGTCAGAGATGGGGGAGTAGGGGCTCTCAGGCAATGGAGTGGGGAGCAGGGCCCTGCTGGGGGGAGTGGGGCAGGGGTTGAACGGGTTGAACCATTGGAGGGCTGGAGTGTGGGTGGGGTGGGGGGCACTGGGAGCTGGCCGTTGAACCAGGTTGGGGCTGGAGATCACAGCTTTGCCCACAATCTCCTTAATCCCAGTTTCAGCAGGTTAATTTTGGCTGGGATTTCTCACCCGCTTCTGTGGCTTCTAAATGAAGTTGCCACCCTGACAGCACCTCCCGCGCCTCCCCTCCCCCACTGGACCCTTCACATCACCCCTCTCTGCAATGAGGTGTGTGCTCAAAGAGATGAGACCCCTCCTCACATTTCTCCAATAAAATATCACTGCCGAGCCCAAAATCCTCTAAGGGATGCTGGCTCTGATCTGGCCCTGGAGTGGGGGAGGACTGCCTGGCTCAGGGGGCAGCGAATGGAACACAAGGCCTTTCCCCTCTAGGGGACGCCAGCTCTGATCTGGGCCTGGGGCGGGGGCACTGGCTGGTTCAGGCGCTAGGGGGCCAGTTGGCTGAGGCAGGCTGGCGTGGGGTGCTGGCTGTGCTGTGGGGCTGGGGGCGTGTGGCTCTGCTGCGCTGACCCTGCTGTTCAAGGCTAGTGGGGAAGATGATGGGGATCGAGTTACAAAGGGCAGCAGTTGGGGGCATTAGCACTGAGCTCCCAGCATCCCTGGGAGCCACGGAAACACCCTGGGCATGGAGCCCCTGTCGTCCACCCCTGCTTGCTTTTTGGGGCTGCTCCACCCTCTGCCCTCCCCCACTTGCCTTGTTCAATCCCTGCTTGCTCTGGGATGGGGGCAGTTTTTCCCAGTTAGCCCTTTCCTGCTATCTCCTGCCCTGGCTCCTGACCCTGCTTGCCATGCTGGCATGGCTCCTAGGGGTGGGTTTTGTGGGGAGGGTTTCCCTGACAACAGCTCTGTACCGGGGCTGCCTATCTAAGGGGGGTCCTCCCCACGTTCCTGGGGTCTAACTGCCTGCTCTTCTTTCTGCCCCCAGGAGAGAGATCTTTCCCCAGTAGAACTGGATGGTGAGTTGGCAGGAGTGGGGGCCTGCCCCTGGAAGGGGGGCACTGGGGCCCAGGCATGTCTGTTTGACCTCTTAGAGGTGGGGCAATAGATTGTGCCTGTCTCTCAGACATGCCCAGTCCCCTCTGGGTCAATGGCCAGGGACACAAGGAAGGGCACAGTGCCTGCCAATCTGAGGGGGTGGGTCTGGATTTATTTGTAGACTCTCCCAGTTGTGACCCTGTCCTGGGCTAGAATGTCTCTGGGCAAACCTAGGCATGCCCAGCCTGCAGCAGAGGATTCTGGGTAGCATATCCCACCTGGCATTGCCCACTTTACAATTAGAATGACCACTAGGGGGCGTCCCAGCTGGAACCACTGCTAGTGGTGGAACCCCTCACCGTGCATCCCTGGGGGTCCTGGCAGCAGGGTCTTGGGCGCTGGGTGGCATCAGTGCAGCGGCCAAAGAAGGGGTCACCCCCATGCATCGATGGCCAGTTCGGGTTGGTTCTGACCCAGTTCTCACCCCACTGTGGCTGGTTTCCCTGGAGCCCCAGGGGGACGCCCGGGATAGGCACCCCAGCGCTGAGGGTGGCTCTGGCTCTTCCTCTTGGCAGAGCTGCTGGACGCCTTCAAGGAGTTCGACACGGACCAGGATGGCTTTGTGAGCTACAAGGACCTGGGCGCCTGCATGCGCACCATGGGCTACATGCCCACTGAGATGGAGCTCATTGAGATCTCCCAGCACATCAAGATGAGGAGTGAGTGTGGGGAATGGCTGTACCCTCAGGGGTCCCTCCCCGCACTGCATCTCACCCACCCATGAGACCCCTTCTCACTGCTCCCTCTGTGGGACCTGCCCCTGCCCCAGAGAGACCCCCCCTCCCCTCAGACTGTTCCCCACCGTGGGACCTGCCCCTGCCCCAGAGAGACCCCCGTCCACTCACACTGCTCCCACCTTGGGACCCAGCACTGGCCCCCGAGAGAGACCTCCATCCCCTCAGACTGCTCCCCCCTGTGGGACCTGCCCCTGCCCCAGAGAGACCCCCCTCCTCACACTGCTCCCCCCTGTGGGATCTTCCCCTGCCCCAGAGAGACCCCCATCCCCTCACACTCCTCTGCCCCATGGGACCCTACCCCTGCCCCAGAGAAACCCCTGTCCCCTCACACTGCTCCGCCTGTGGGACCTGCCTCTACTCCAGAGAGATCCACCTCCCCTTTCACTGCTCCCGCCATGGGACCTGCCCCTGCCTCTGCCCCTGCCCCAGATAGACACCCCTCCCCTCACACTGGTCCCCCCGTGGGACCCTGCCCCTGCCCCAGAGAGACTCCCATTCCCTCGCACTGCTCCCCCGCCATAGGACCTGCCCCTGCCCCAGAGAGACGCCCCCTCCCCTCACACTGCTTCCCCCTGTGAGACCTGCCCCTGTCCCAGAGAGACCCCACTCCCCTGATGTGACTTCCCTCCGTGGGACCCCTCCCCATTGCGGGGGCTGGGCACTGATTTCCTTGTCTCTCCCGCAGTGGGTGGGCGCGTGGACTTTGAGGACTTTGTGGAGATGATGGGGCCGAAACTGCGGGAGGAGACGGCCCACATGGTGGGGGTGCGTGAGCTCAAGATCGCCTTCCGTGAGGTATGGGGGTGTAGGGGAACATGGGCACAGGGGGGAGGGGGAGCAGGTGGGGATGTGGCTGCACCCATCCAGTCGGGCGGTCCCATGCTCACCCCATTCTCTGTCCCCCTGCCCCCAGTTGGACAGGAACGGGGACGGGGAGATCAGCAGCATGGAGCTGAAGGATGCCCTCCTGGCCCTGCTGGGGGAGCAGGTCCCGCTGCCGGAGGTGGAGGAGATCCTGCGCGACGTTGACCTCAATGGGGACGGCCACGTGGACTTTGATGGTGAGAGACCCTCTGCAGCCCCCACCCCACCAACCCCCTGGGGAACCCATTGACCCCAGGGACTCCCCTCACCCCACTGACTGCACTGGCCTTTGGGAACCTGCCTCCCACCCACTGGTGCTAGAGACCCCCCACCTCCCTTCACACTGAGCCCTAGGGATACCTCCTCTGCTCCCCCCCCCCACAGCAAGGACTCATCCCTGCAGAGATCTCCCCCTTCTCTCCCTGCCAGTGTCTTCCTGTGACACCCTCCCACCCCCGCAGTCCTCTCTGTGCTCTCCCCCTTGTGTTTAGTTGTGTGCTGGGCCCTTAACCCAGAACTATAGGGTCTAGGTCCCTGGGCTAAAGAGCCACCCCCCACCCCCTCCAGAACAGGGTGAGGCTCAGACCCACTTTCTAGAGCCCCAGGAGGGCTGTTTTTTCACAGGGTGCCTGGGGGCAGAGCTGCCTCCTTTGGGATTGGATGGAGGAGGGGAGGGAGCCAAAGCTAGGACTGGGGAGGGGCAAATGAGAGGAGCGGCAGTGATGGCTGCGGGGTGGAGGGGACAATCTCCCCCCAGCATCCTGTCTCCCGGGGGGCATGATTCCTGCCCTTTGGCTGCTCCAAGCCCTCACCCTGCCCTTCACAGCCCCCCTGCAGCCCTGTGCCCCCTCCTGTGGAAGCTCTACATGCACTGCTTGGGGTGGGCAGCAGCATCCTGAAGCCTGGTAGGGGGAGCTGTGGCACGGGTTACGGTCTAGGGGGTGGGATGCAGTGTGGGGTAGCACAGGACAGTGCAGTCCGGCTGTGCTGTGCAGGATGTGCATTGGGAGGCGCTGGTGTTTGCTCACTCCAGGTCCCACGTTGTGTCTCTCTCAGAGTTTGTGATGATGTTGTCCTCCCGCTAACAAGGCCCTCACCCCCCATCGCCATCGCCATTCCAGCCTCCAGGGGACCCGAGCAGCTCCAAGTGGATCCCCACTTCTTGACAACTGGTGACCCCCCTTCTTCGCCAGCAGGAAGTTCCCTCACGACTCCCTTATGGGCCTTTCTAAGAAGACCCCTCCCACCGGGTCTGCCTGCCCCTCTGCTGGCCCCTCTCCCTCACAGTGCGCTGCCAGGGAGCAGGGGCCTGAATGCCAGTTGGCAACCCCATTGGGGGGCTGCTAAGTCTCTGACGAGGGCAGGCCCTGCACCCCAGCTGGGAGTCCAATAGGCGGGCTGTGGAATTTATTAAAAAACTACACGTAAGAATAAAAAACCTTCCCTTGTATTTCAATGAGCATCGGAGCTGGATGGCAGTCTGTACGTTTGCTCTCCGGGACAAGGCCCCTTTCAAATACTATGCACGCGTCACATTCCATTCCCCAAAGTGAGGCTAAGAGGGAGAAAAAGTAAACACAGACAGACGTGCCCTGAATAATGCAATGTGCTGCAATGAGCCTTTGATGGTGATGCACATAAAAAAAGACATACAATTCAAGCCTAAATTTTATATTTACTTTTGACTTAGGGTAAAAGCTGAAACGAGCCAGACCTGGAACGGCATTATAATTAATTATATCACATTTAAAAACAGTGGAGAAAGTGACATGTACTTGGGAAGACTATTTTGGGAATGACCAGAAATGATTAATTATTAATTGCTTGTCATCCCAAAATATTATTCTCAAGGGTGTGTTGTTGTCTCCACTGAGCATGCTTATGTCCAGAGTTCTTATATTTAGCTTTAATGTTAGTTTCCACTGTCTGAAAATGTTAATTCTGGCACAAATGACAGATCGCAATCTAATGCTAGCCACCATGTTTGTTTGGATTTTAACCCTACTAGCCTCGTTATGGGTTGGTTCCTGAATATTCAAGATTCAAAATTAAGAGTGACCTATGATAGACGCAACGTTACACTACAGTCATATGAACTTGACGTTACAGGAGTCATATGATGGTATCAAGGTATGCCATGGCAGAGAAAAACATTGGGAACCACTGCTTTGGAGGACTCTGCTCAGTGGACCAAGCCCCCAAGGGGGTCCCACTCTTCCTCCAGGGCCGGCCACACCCTCACTTGCCTCTGGGCTCCAGCCCTCCTGCCTCATGTGGGGAGCTCTGCCCAGCAAGGCCAACTGAGCCAGAAGTCCGCTTAGGGATGTGTAACTCTCCAGGGCCTGATGCACTCCAGCGGGTATTTGCAGTGACACGGGGCAGCTTTTCCAACCAGGGCAGGGTTGGTTAGTCCCCTGGCATACAGCTTTCCAAGTCCTGAGGGTAGCCCAAAGAAAGGAAGGTTAAAGCACAATCCTTCTGGCCAAGCCCGAGCAAACCACCTGCCTTGCTGTAGCAAATTCCATCTCAGGCACTGTGTCTCTCTGGCGTCCTTAGTCAGGGCCAAGTTCTTCCAGAAGCCCACTCTTGGTCCTCCACTGGTCACCTCCCAATCCTTTGGCTCCAGGCAAGGACATGCAGAATTCACAGCCCTGCCTGCTGTCCAGTGTCCAGTCCTTAGGGCTTCCCATTGTCTCTCAGGACCCTCTCTTGAGCTGGGTCAGTTTCAACCAGTTTCCTGATGAACCTATTCATTGTGGCCCAGACAGCAAGTCTCTCACATACACACTCCCCTCCTGCCCCACACAGCCCCCCCCAGAACTGATTTAACTCTCCACTCCCAAACTGGCTAGCAACACAGTACAGAGGGAAACTGAGGCACACAAGATTCATAAAAATATTACAGAAGATTTCCACTTCAGCACAGCTCTCCTCCCTTGGGGGCCGAACTGAGCAAGACGGCTTTACCCTTTAACCTGGGAGGTTCGAGCCCACCATGGTTATTAGGAGACGCCCTAGCATAATGCCCATTTCCATGGTAGCAGTTCTACCTGGCACTTGCGAGATGCGTACAGCACAGTTTCTAACCAAGCGTACAGGTTTCACAGCACAGGACAGAGCTGTTTCACACCCTCCCTTTGGTCTGTTCTGTTCGATGACACGAGCAGGGTGCACATGGGAAATTTCCATGCGGTCCCCAGCCCTTTGGCCACCCCAGACCCTTTGGGTTTGAAACTGAGTCCTGCCACTACCTCCTCCCTGTCTTTTTCCAGGGAAAGATGAGGGCAGGGAACCCACATTCCTCCATGGGTCAGCCATCCTGGCTGCAGACCGGGGTGTCCTGACCCCTAGGTTGGCTAGGAAGTGACCCCGTGAGCGTCTGGTGGGGTCAACCTGTTGCCCTCACCCTCAGGACAGAGTCCTGTCTTATGGTCCCCAGCCCCGATGGGCTGTGATTCAGACTGTCTTGGGTAGGCGCACCCATCAGGTCCATGGCCATGCCCTGACAAGTTGTGTCCAAGTCCAGTAGTTGCTGTCCAGCTGCTTTACCCTTCCCTGGGGCTTCTTCCTGCTGAGCAGGGCAAATGTGTCTGGCAGTTGTCCTGCCCTGCTCACGTCCTCCCACACTTAGCTAGGGCCTCAGCCACCACCAGACCTAGCTTGGCCTCTACTTCCCCAGGCTGGCTCCCTTGGTCACAGCAGCAGGCCTCAGGGAAGTTGTGCCTGAGCCCATGTGACTCACATCTGCTGTGTGGAGATGGCTGGGTCCATTCCTCTGCCCCACTTGGATACAGCCGTCTGCTTACGGGTCTCCCGACCTTAACCTTTCCTCCTTCTTCCTATATGCACTGTCACTAACACCTCCGGTCTGCTTGGTTCAGACTCTGGGCTAGTCCAGGAGGAGGGGCTGAATTTTATCTTAAAGTGACACATTCATTCCCAAAAAGGAAGTCAAAGCTGATGTCCTGGAGACCAGCCACCCTGATCCTTCCTGTGTCTGCCAAGGGATCTCAGCCATAGGTAGGGCCAATGGCTTCCCATTTGGAACCTTCCTTCAGGTTGTCCTGCCTTTCAGGATTTGATGGGGTTTCACCAGCAAGGATTCTCTCTGTCCCACAGTCCCTCCAGCCCATGAATGTCTTCCCATTAACCTTCTGCTCCCACTACAGCCTTAGGCTTTCTGTCCGCTAACCATGTTTTAAGCTTGTAGGGACATATCTTACAAAGTTGTTCCCCAGATCCTCCGGTGTAGTGACACCTGCATCTTTGCCCCATCATCATTCTTCCATCAGGGTGGTGGCTTCCATATGTGTCACAACCTTGATCTTTTGCATACACTCCAAACCTTTTCCTGTAAGCCTCAGGTGTCATTTCAGATTTAAGCAGTGGAGTCTTTTCAAATTGTTCATGGCCCCCACTATCAATTCCATCCGTTTGGCTGTATACCTGTATTGCTTTGGAACCGAGTGAGACAGACTGTACCCCTGAGTCCACACCCTATTGTACAAGGCATGCCGTGAGAGGTATCCGTGAAAAAACTCATAATTTGCTGATCAATAATAAATATCATGGCAAAATATACATAGCCACGTTCTATGGGAAGTTCTAAACATAAGCGGAGATCATGACTAGAAGTAGGTTTTCCAGAGTCTTCTGGGGAGTGGCCAAACCAGTTCCTCAGAGAGGAAGGACAAACTGATGCCTCAGCCTGGTGTCAACAAGCAGGGCCATTACCTGCTAAGTGGCCATTCTTTGGCAGGAAAGGGGGCAGGGGCAAAAAAACCCCAAACCAAAAACCCTACATCTTAGCAAAGAACCAGCCTGGGGTTCCACTCCACACAGGCTGCCTGTCGCCTGTTCCCAGCTGGAAATGCATCTCAAAGTGGGGACAGGACTATAAAAAAGGGGGCAGACACCCCAAGGGACTCCTCCTTCCTTTCACTCTGTCCATCGATTTGCTGCACCAGAAGGAACAAAGGAAGCAGCTGTTACACAGAAGCCCAGACACGCAATCACGGAGTCAGTGAGGCTACAGGGCCTACCCTGGAGGAAGAGTGAGACCCCTTGAGGGTCTAACACACTGAAGGGGTTCCTCCAAGAAACTGTTTAAAAGGTGCAATGTAGCACCAATCCTGTGGCAGTTGGTGTTAGCAGTGGGATACTGAATGCATCAGTAGTATTTTGCAATACTGACTTGCTGAAGTAAAAAACAAGGTTAGTCAAAGGAAGAAGCAAGAAAATGGCATATAACTATCTCCCTAAGAAGGACATCATAAACCTGTGTGGGGAGAGAGGGTTTGGCCTAGGAAGTTTGGCCCGTAAAACTGTTGAGAGCATGTGGTGAGAGAAATTTTGCTGTGAATTTAACGTCGTTCGTTCAGGGAGGCTTTAGTTGTGTTTTATCTTTACTTTTCTTGTAACCCTTTCTGACTTTTATGCTTCATTATGTATTCACTTCAAAGCTCTCTCCCTCTGTAGCTAATAAACTTGCTTTATCTAATCCAGTGTGTCTAAACAGAAGTGTTTGGGAACCTCCATTTAGGACAGCAGGTGGGTGCATATCATTTCTATGAATAAAATGATGGACTTTAAGTGAACATGTGTTGGCCAGGAAAGGGCTGGGCAGCACAGGATGTACATTTCTGGGGAAAATCTAGGACTGGGGGTATGCTAGTGTCACCCTGAAATATAGTCAAGGCTGGTGAAAGCCAGAGCATCATCCATGTGTGGCTGGCTGGCTGCAGCCCACACACAGACACAGCTGGGAGTGACTTGTTGTTTGTGAGTTGTCCAGACTGGAGTCTACAGTAGCAAAGTCGTGTAAAGGGCACCCCAGGTTAGAGGGCAGGGGTGACAAAGCTACTCACATGTCTGCATTGTACCCTGGTACTGAGTTAGTGGGTAAGACATTGGAGCTGGTAAGCAGGGTCATCCTGGTTCAAATCACAAGGCTTCTCAAAGGCAGTGATTTTGGCATCTATATCATCCCCTTAAACTGGGGCAACTGTTTAGTATCTAGACTTCCTGAGGATTGGCATCCCGAGGTCTTTCCCCACTTCCATTTCTCCATCTCCAGTTCATGCTTCTGTGTTCTTTTTCATGTTTTTGCTGCTTCTTCTGGTCAGCTCCCTCCCTTGCACAGTCCTCCAGTCTCTGCCGCTCTACTTGAAGATCCTTAGCTCCCAGCTCCAATTCTCACCACTTCAAGTCTATTAATGGGGAACCAGGTCATGAAGGTTCCCTGCTGAAAGGAGAATCAGGTCTTGAAGCCGCCCTGCTGCTGCTGTGGCCTTTCTTGATCTTGGACCCCCTTAGAACTTCAACTGGCTCTGGAATCTGGTTCTTGGTCCAATCATCCTTCTCCAGCCATGCACTCAGTTGCTTCTTGTTGAGCTTTCCAATGCTTAACCCTCTCTCCCAGCACAGGTTTATGATGTCCTTCTTAGGGAGATAGTTATATGCCATTTTCTTGCTTTTTCCTTTGACTAACCTTGTTTTTTACTTCAGCAAGTCAGTATTGCAAAATACTACTGATACATTCAGTATCCCACTGCTCACACCAACTGCCACAGGATTGGTGCTACATTGCACCTTTTAAACAGTTTCTTGGAGGAACCCCTTCAGTTTGTTAGACCCTCAAGGGGTCTCACTCTTCCTCCAGGGTAGGCCCTGTAGCCTCACTGACTCCGTGATTGCGTGTCTGGGCTTCAGCCCTCCTGCTTTATGCCACAAGCACTGACCAGCGAGTCCAACTGAGCTAGACTCCTGGTAGAGACTTGTCCACTCTTCAGGGACTGATTCACCTGAAGGAGTGGGGCTGGATGGGACCTGGCCAGAGGGCTGAGGCGTGGGAAGGTGCCACTCCCCAGCCTAACAGTGACTGTTGCCAGGGGGTGCTGGAGCTGAAGAGGCTGCTCCAGCCACTCTCGCTGGCTGGTGAGCAACCCCTCTATAGGGGTACCTGGGATCCCTGGTGGGGTGGAGATTGGAGGAACCTGATATTGAAGAAAATGGGAATGGATGGGTGCACACAGACCCTGGCATGGGGAGGTGGGGAGGAGATGGGTGGCCCTGATATAGGGGAAGGGGCCAGTGGGGGGCACAGGGAGTCCCTAGCATGAGAGAATGGGGGCACACAGGGACTGGGGGGATGCAGAGAGTCCCTGCAATAGAGGGGGATGGCAGGTGGCAGCAGGGAGCTGTGGGGGGATGGAGGGATGCATGGAGCCCATAGGGTGCAGTGCACTCAGTTGACACAAGCTACCACCTGTGCACCCCTTAGCGTATTGACCCTCGCAGCTCCCCATGAGGCAGAGCAGTGCTGTGATCCCCATTGTACAGATGGGGCAATTGAGGCCCAGAGGCTACATGATTTGCCCAAGGTTACCCAGGGAGCACATGGGAAAGCTGGAACTTGAATCCAGGCCCCTCAAAGCCAGTGTCGTAACCACTGGGCCAGCCTTCCATCTCAACTGCCCCCCATTGCTCCAGCACTTCCCCCTGGGATCTAACTCTTTTTGTGGACCATGGGGATCTCAATGCTGGAGACAGACCAGGCTCAAGGCCTGGGGCAAGACCCCTAGCTCCCAGCCCCCTAGAGAGAATCAGCTCTTGGGTCCCTCAAAGCTGCTCCTCATGGGTTACGTCCCATGGGCCAGTCCTGAGGCCCATGGTTGCCATGCTGCCCTCCCGCTGGCTGTTGCACTACAGAGTGTCACCTGGCTGTGGCCCCCTAGTGTCCCTTTCCAGGTGTCCCTGCCTGTCAGCGGGGCTGGAGCAGAGCCTTCTGCCCAGGCTGCTGAGCTAAAGGAGAATCCCACCAGCGTGTAGAAGAGCAGTTGTGATCCCAGCCAGCAGAGGGCAGGGTGAGACAGGTGCTCATCCAGAGAGGTTAGGAGTCTGTTCCAGATCTCGAGCTCCAGCTGTAGTGGCTCTGTGCCTTTAGCTCCGGCGGACCCCACTGCAGTGCCCAGTGTGTCGGCTGTCACACACCCCGCTGGGTCCCAGCCCCAGGGAAGATCTCCATGCTTGTAGTCTCCTTCCTTTCCCTGCCCGTGGCAAAGCCGCTGGAGGGGCAGGGGTCTGAGAGCCCCAGCCAGGGGTGGGGCCGGGGGAGAAGGGCTCCTGAGAGTGGATTCTCCCATTGCAACCCCTGCACTGATCTGGATTCGCTCCCTTGGTGTGCGCCAGCATTTCCCCAGAAGGGGAATGGGATTGGGGTGGGGGATGGAGTGGATGGCATCAGTTCCCCCGGACTCACCGTATTTCTGCTCTGACACCTCAGAGCTCGTGTCAGTCCCATGTGCTCCCCTTTGCCCTATGGGGTGCATACCCTTTGCTGCTTCTAGTACTGCCCTTTCCCCACTGGGCTGCCATTGCGGGGACCTTGCATAGTTCAGAGATGGTGTCTTTCCCCCCGGTTCTAACTCCACCAACGAGCCAATCTCCAGCGCGCAGCATCCTCCATTGCCGATGCTGCAGTCACCTGGCTCGGCCGGTCTGAGCAGAGCATCCGCTGCTCTCCAGGCTCCTGGGGTAGAAGCCTCCTGTCTGTGTGTGACACCATCCTTATCAGACCCCCATCACCGTAGTAATGGAGTACCGCCCAATCTGTGACGTATGAACCATCACGCTCCCTCCCCGGGAGGCAGGGCAGTGCTGTGATCCCTGTTGCACAGATTGGGAAACTGAGGCACAGAGCTTGCCCAGGTCACACAGGGAGTCTGCAGCACAGCAGGGAATTGAACCAAGTCCCAGGCTAGTGTTTTAACCACTAGACCATCCATCCCCTCCCATATAGCAATATGGGGGGGCAGGGCAGGTGTGACTCCCCCCACCTCCAGTTGAGACCCCCTGTCCTAGTTATCCCAGCCCCTTCCTCAAGAAAATAATGGG